AATCTATAATAATAAAAGCCTAAGGGACTATTATGGCAGAATGACCAGAATGACTTGTCGCTATGATGTGCACTGACCACCCGGGGCAGACGCTCAATGCAGGAGCTACCCCCTGGTGGTCAGTGCACTCCCACAGGGGGAGTAGCCGCTCAACCAGACTCCCTTCCTCTCTGAAATCAATCTATAATAATAAAAACCTAAGGGACCATTATGGCAGAATGACCAGAATGACTTGTCGCTATGATGTGCACTGACCACCCGGGGCAGACGCTCAATGCAGGAGCTACCCCCTGGTGGTCAGTGCACTCCCACAGGGGGAGTGGCCGCTCAGCCAGAGCTGGGCTCATGAATGGCAAGCTCAGCAGCGGTGCAGTGCTAAAGAGCAGCAAGTCAAGTGGTAAGGAAGGAGGAGACAGGCGGTAAGGAGCCAGGGATCCTGGATTGTGAGAGGGATGTCCGACTGTACACTTAGGCCCAAGGGGATCTGGCCTTAGTCTGGTAAGGAGCCAGGGATCCTGGATTGTGAGAGGGATGTCTGACTGCACACTTAGGCCAAGGGGATCTGGCCTTAGTCTGCAGTCAGACATCCCCTGAGTGGTCCCAGACTGAGAGGGTGCAGGCTAGGCTGAGGGACCACCCCTCCCCCGCAAGAGCATGAGTTTCATGCATTGGGCCTCTAGTAAAAATATATTTTAAAATAATATAAACTCTGCTAAAGATAGAATTATTGAAACTATCCTTTATTCTTCAGTCTGCTTTATATTCTGTACCCAGTAAATCCCATATTCTGTCATTCAATCTTAAAAAATGTCCCTGAAACCTGTCGTCTATTTTCCAAAACACACATCATCATTTTTCACACACTACCACCAACAAGCTCTTTAAAGATTTCTCCAAGAAAACTCATTGACATTAAAATAAAGTTAAAATCGCTTATATTTCTCAAATGTCACCTCTCATAAATTCTTCAATTCCCCTAGGCATAGGCAAAAGCTCCATCTTCTTTCCTCCCACACTTTATCCACATTACTATGACATTTTTAGCACATTATAGTGAAATGATTTGCTCACCTGTTTACTGGCATGAACCTACTCCTGTGTATTAATTGTTTTTGTATTTCAAGTGTTTTGAATTATCCTTGGCTTATGGCAGGCTATCAGAATGATTAGATAACTAATAACAATTTATGATCTAAATGTTGAAGATTTTAAAACATAACTAGAAAATTCCTTAGTATAGAAGGAGAAATAAGCCTATTTCAAAACATAAATCCATGGTGATTCTTACTCACTTATTAAAGGATTAAGCATCTAAGATTTATATTGGTATTTTATTCATGTTTAACCTTTAAAGGAATTAGGTTGGCTTCTATGATAATTAAAAAAACAAATGCTATTTCTTAAGGTAATTATAGAGGATAAGAAGGCACTTCAACATTGATGCTGCATGTGGCGCCCTCTGGCAACTTCATATGGTACCATCTGACTGTCATTGAAGCCATGATAAATTGCCTTTTGAAATCAATATTGAGTCTCATTCATTACTTTCTTAGGTTCCATGCTTTATATCAAAAAGACAAATGCCAAGATAAATTTACACTTTGTAAAAAATATTTTTTAAAAGAACTCCAGGACAACATTGGAAAACAACTTTCAAGGACAAGAACTCATAGCTCACATTCCATGGATCAGTATGATGTATCTGTTTATTTTTGACTTCAGAAAGGTACCAATGACAAATTATTAACTTTCTAATACTTTGAAGGTATAATTTAATTTAGCATTAATCATATTTGTGAACTATAACAAAAGGTCTGAATGTAAAGTTAGTTGGGAAAGATAGTGGATTGTATTACATGAATACATATTTATATTGCATGTATGTATTTGTTGTATTTATTTAATTAGATTATATAAAATATGTAATAGTTTTATGGTGTTGTGTATCCAATTAAAACATCTACTGAAAGAATTATAAAATTATTTAAAATATTTCTGATTTATTGAAATATTTTAGTATTGGTATAATTTTAATTTATCAATATTACCATATTGGTATAATATCAATAATATTTGTGCTTTATCATTTTACAAAGTGTTTTTCATGTTCCAAAACATTTTAAAATAGTTGACAGTGGCAGAAGTTGTACTAGTTGGGACTTGTTATTCAAAGTCTAGTATTAATTTGCATAATATCAGAATACTAGGTGGCTCAGAAGTGTACAAACAGGTGATATACTGTAATAATACCACTATTATTCTTATTGAAAGAAATATTCTAAAGACCTTCACAAATTAAATTTTATGCTCCATTTGTACACATTAATTTATCAGTATATTCTCAGCCTTTAATTAGCTTAGTGATTTCTTGTCTAAATTATTTTGTTATTCTTTTTATTTTTTCTTCTTTAAAGTAAAACCAAAATTCTGAAAATGTAGGTAAGGGCCTAATTTGAAAATTTGAAGACTTAAAACTAGCATTTTTTTTCTGGAGGTAAGTTTTAGAGGTTTTTTTCCTCTATTTTCTTTCTTTTTAATTAAATTTATTGGGGTATCATTGGTTAATAAGATTACACAGGTTTCAAGTACACATTTCTATGATACATGATCTCTATAAAACTAGCATTTTTACTGATTTTTTTTAAAGAGAGAGAAAGGGAGAGGGAGAGAGAGAGAAATATAGATGTGAGAAAGAAACATCGATTGGCTGCCTTCTGCCTGCCACTTACTGGGGATCAAACTTATAACCGGGCATGGGCCCTAACTGAGAATCAAACTGGCAATCTCTTGATGCATAAGATGATGCTCAAGCAACTGAACCACACCAGGCAGGGCCTAGCATTTTTAATATTTTAATAATTATACCCAATTAATACATATTGCATTTCTAGAGAAAATCTATACATAATATTTCCAACCTCACAGAATCCTAGAAAGGAAAACCATTATGACTTATACTCATTTTTTATGTAAAAAAATAAAATAAATTTATACTAAATAATATAGCTAGTTGGTAGTCAAGATAGAACTGAAATCCATGTTCCATATTACTTAATACATGTTCTATTCAACCCCTCTATGTTTATACTTTTATTTTGTTCATGATCAAAGAAATTTTCACTTTAAAATGAAGGATCTATTAAATAGACCTTTTTATGGTTCCACATGTTTTCTTATTGGTGAAGTAAGGTTAAAATTCTGAAGCACAATATTTTCTATTAGCCTGTGTCTGCAACATGAGTTGCCAAAGGAATACATGATGCCTGGGGACACAGAATCAACTTTGGAAATTATAAATGGTCATAAAAAATGTCCCTGAATTCTTACTTCTGCACCTGAACAGGTTTTAATTTTTCATAGACATAGAAGTCTTCCAACATCTATTTAATACATTGTTTTAGTATAGATACAATTACCATTTAATGTGTATATATAAGTATATATAGACATGCTTATCAAAATAAACATAGATATATATACTCTATCTATCTATCTATCTATCTATCTATCTATCTATCATCTATCATCTATCTACCTTTCTATCTATCTATCATCTCTCCTGACTTTTATCTTGCTGTAATCTAAATAAAGTGTTATAAATGTAGTTAAGATGCAATTATTTTGAACTTGGGAAATTTTTAAGTAAAATGTGATCCAAGACCTTTTATTACAAAAGTTGAGGAAAAAAAATAAATGTGCACAGCTTTTAAATGTTAGGGATAAATCTAGAATGCTAGCCTTGACGTTGGAACTCATTCTGTTGCCACTCTGAGTTTAGTTCATTATATCTATTTTTTTTCCTTTTTTTTCTAAAGAAGGAAGACAGTCTTGAAAAATCTTACCAAGAAGATTTAAGAATGAGTCATCAATCTTTCAAGTGAGCATATATAAATATAGATTATTTTAAATGTTCTAAATTCCAATATTCTCTACAAACTTTATCCCCAAAAGACAGATTATGACAGGTTAAACAGTTGGTAAATGAAAGGTTAAACAAATAATTGATGTAAAATTCTTATTATGTTATATGATGTCAGGCATTAAATTTATTTGCTCCATACTGTAGAATTTAAGGGAAGGCAGGGGAGGGAAGGGATAAGAGATCAACCAAAGGACTTGTACGCATGCATATAAACATTACTAATGGCCACAGACACTAGGGCGGGGTGGTGAGGGCATGTGCTGGGAGATGGGAGTGGTAAGGGAGAGGTGAATGGGGGGGAATAATACTGTAATAGCGATGTATGGGCTGGGGGGAGGGTGGTACTTGAAATATCAGGAGGACCACTCTGTAAAGTATATGATTGTAACCACTATGTTGTGCTCCTGAAACTAATACAGAATAATATTGAATGTGAACTATAATTTTTTTAAAAAGATGGAAAATTGTATGTTATATGTTTTTCATCACAATAAAAAATGTATTTGCTTCATACTATAGAATTTAATTTTCTCCATATTATATACTTTCTCCTACCTATAAACTATTATACAGGAAAAACTGGTAATGATAACCTTACAGTAATTACATTCATTATAAACACAATCTATCTTTATTATTAAAGAAAGGAGCCTTTTGAAAAATTCTTACTGCATCTAAGAATTACCTCAAAACAATGAATTTCCTTAAATATTGAAACAAAACTTTGAAGATAGAGAAATTCAAAGATTCATTTTGTATTTTTCTTAATCTAAAATGCAGAGCTATGCTTAAGAATATACCACAAATCTACTATCAAATTAAGGATAAAACCTAATTATTATATTAAAGATTGATTTTATAAACAAATCTTCAGTTATTGGTCGTATGATCTTGATTTTGCTTATCATGTTAGTAAAATAATAGGAGACACTTGAAATCCTTTCCAGTACATACTACAAATAAAAAGTATATAGCTTTCTCTGGATTGGTTATTTTCCCTTCCTCCATCTACTAAAAAAAAAAAGAAAAGAAAGAACAAAGCTTTCCCAACCTGCTCATGAATGCATTCCTCCCCTACCTTGGTAATCGTTTCATGAAGTTTGAAAAAAGGATCCATTTCTTCAATTTTTGTTGCACCTTTAGGGAAAAGGGCCTCGGAGAGAAAACTGGGATCCTGTGGAAAGCAGAATAAAACATTTAAAACTCTTCATTGATTTTGTTTTTCAAGTGCTTATTGGATTTTCTTTAAAGATTCAAAAGGACTCTAAATTGCTTTAAGGTTTCTGTTGATTGTTGGACTTCATTCTACTTATCTGATTAATCAATCACAGAATTTTTTTAAATTAAAATGAGTAGAACCCTATGACATTTGACATTATTTGTATCTATAAAATAATGCTTAATTTTACTCATATGAGATAATTCTTTGCAGTTTTTCCTGTTTTTTTTTTGTTTTTGTTTTTTCATACAGACATATATAGAACACAATACCTTGACTATAAGATCCAAGTCTGAAATCATTTTTTCTATTTTAATACATTAAATTTTGTTTTAAGTCTGGTAGAATGGGATGTTTTTAATCAACATGATTGCCAAAAAGAAAGGCCACAAAAGTATACATGATATTTTAAACATTTAAAAACTCACTTCAAAAGACTTAATAAGATACATTTTTGGTAGAATGGTCTTATGGCTTTTAGACTATCAGTAAAGTGCTAACGTGATATCAGAACCTTAGTGGTATATGGTTTAAATGAATCAGGAAAACAGTAATTAGTCATTTTATACTTGCAGATGTAGACAAATTTCAAGATGCAAGGAGATCTATGTGACATGAATATGTATGCCCCCCTGCAAAAAAAAATTCATATGCTGAAAACCTAATTTCCAAAGTAATGATATTAAGAGATGTGGACCTTTGGGAGGTGATTGGGACATGAGTGTTTTTGCCTTACTATCGGGATTAGTGCCCTTCTAAAAGAGGCTCCGCAGAGCTCCCTAGCCCCTTGATCCTTGTCCTATATAATAAAAGAGTAATATGTAAATTGACCCTAACAGCAGAACGACCAGAAACAACTGGTCACTATAATGCTCACTAACCACCAGGGGGCAGACGCTCAATGCAGGAGCTGACCCCTGGCGGTCAGTGCACTTCCACAGGGGGAGCACTGCTCAGCAAGAAGCCAGCTCATGGCTGGCCAGTGCAACAGTGGTGGCAGGAGCCTCTCCTGCCTCTGCAGCAGCGCTAAAGATGTCCTACTAATGGTTTAGGCCTAAAACATTAGCAGGACATCCCCCAAGGGCCCCCGAGTGGGATGTCTGACTGTCAGTTTAGGACCGATCCCCCCGGGAGCAGGCCTAATCCAGCAGATGAACATCCCCGGAGGGCTCCCAGACTGCAAGAGGGTGCAGGCCGGGTTGAGGGACCCCCCTGAGTACACGAATTTTCATGCACTGGGCCTCTAGTAAATATAAAATAAGAAATCTGTAACCTGAAACAGGGCCCTCACCTGACCATGCTGGCACCATGATCTTAGACTTCCAGTCTCTAGGACTGTGAGAAATAAACTTATGTTGTTTATAAACCACTCAGTCTGTGACATTTTGTTATAGCAGGCTAAATAGACTAAGATATAAATATAGCTCTTACTCGAAAACCTGAAGTAACTAGGGTTATTTGTCTAAAAAATAGAAAACTTGAGAAAGGATATATGTATGTATATATGATCTGATTAATAGATAGATGATAGATAGATAGATAGATAGATAGATAGATAGATGATCTTTCTGAGGGCTAACATGGAGAAGAAGCATTCAATACAGTCAACACCAACAATGACCACAACAGTGTAACAAATTAAGCTGAATTCTGTTGGAGCCATTTATTAGAGCAACCTCACAGCAGAACAGACTGCTTTGGGGTATAACAATGGTGGAAAAGAAAGTTAGGATGATGTAGTTGATAAGCTCTGAAGTCATACAGTTGAGAACATAACTGCAAATCCTATATATTAAATAATTCTGTGATCAGGCATACTCTTCACCCCCTATTTTGAGCAATACTGAAATAAAACAAGAGTAATTCAGCTATTTGCTCCAGCATATATTCACTTTGTGAGGGTAAGACCATAAATCAACCAAACAGCTTACCTATCATAACTAACATCTTATTTATCAAAATTGTTTTATGGTGTTTTTTTCCTCATTTTACCTGGCAATCTAAAACTATTTTTTTCAAAAACTCCATCTAGATCCAACTAGTATTTTACTTTTTAAGATTTACCATGAAAGCTAGGCAAGAAGCTTGGAACAGATTTCCTTTCTTAACCCTCCAAAGGAACCAACCCTGATAACAATTTGAAATATTAAAATGATACATTTCTGTGCAAGAGTCATTCAATCTATGGCGACTTTTTATGGCAACGCTTGTAAACCAATGCCCTCAGTACAGGTGGTATTCTTCCTTACTGCAATAGGTCTAATAAACTTCATTTTGTTTAGCAACTGGGTTTTTGGAAGTATTTTGATCAATCAACATAAACATAGGTTAAAATTTTTGTTTTGCCACTTAATAATTGTCATCTTAATCTTCAAATGATTAGTCACTGAATCTAAGAAATTTGAATGATAATATATATTTCACAGAGATGTGGTTCAACTATCCATGCCTGAAACATGGGAGATATTATGTTACCAGCACTCGTGATGTTGCTAAAAACAATAAATTTTTTAATGATGGTGATGAGGATGGTGATTATGGTAGGTGGGATGCTTAAATAAAGAAAATTCAAAAACCTTATTTATCTGTTTTTGTTCATCAGTTTATGTTCATTATTATAAAAACAGATCCAGAGACAGAGAAACATCAATCAGACCGTCCAACCTCAGAGGGAAGGTAGGGAGGGTGGAGGTAAGGAGCAGAGATCAACCAAAAGACGTGTATGCATGCATATAAGCCTACCCAATGGACACAGACAACAGGGGGGTGAGGGCATGAGTGGGGGAGGTGGCGGGTAATGGGGGGAATAAGGACACATATGTAATACCTTAATCAATAAAGAAATATAAAAATCTTATTTATTATCCTATGAGAAATAGTGTACAGATTGCATTTAGATATGTTTATTTTTCAAAATAGTGATATCTTTAAACTAACCTTAGTGAAAATATGACCTGAATAATTTGTGGCATTCATTTCTATTTAATAATTAAGTTTGAAGTGCTTAAAAAGTTTGTTTCACAAATCGTTTTAAACAAACTTCTTAAAATAATTTTATTAGTTTACTTAGCAAAACAAAACTTCATAATTAGTGCAAAGGTAAAATATCAGCCAGCCTCAAATTAAGTGATCCCATAAAAACATAAATTGGAAGTTATAATTAGTGAGGTTTTTATTGAAATTTCAATTATTCAGTAGCAAACCAATATTAAATTATCCATATATGCCTTATTCTCTAGTGTAATCCCCATCTTTCTCTTATTTCTTCAGCTATCTCTTACCATATCATTCTTTCATTTTTAGTGCCTTGTTTGTTTAAAACATTTTTAAAAATCCTAATTTAACATCTACCACATGATAGGTGCTGCATCAATGCAACAGGGTTCTTAATCTCATGGAGTTTAATCTAATGGAATTAAAAGTTAAAAAGTTTTTGCTGCTATTACATTAACTATGAGTGATAGATTCTTAATAATAGCTCCTATCTGTAGATGAAGAGAGTGAAATAAAGCACCATTAACCATATTACAGTGCTTTTGTTTAAAATAATTCATTGATAGATTGAAACAAAGCATTCTTGAATAATTTAATATATTGTAAACAATATTGTGTGTCTGCCAATTGGCAATAACAGTAAGCACATTATAGAAAAAGAAACATTGATAAGCAAAGTCTATCAAGGATATAGTGTAAAATTTGTTTCCCTAGTACCTAATTTATGTTATTTCTTTAATATTTAGCACACCTTCCTTCTTTCAACTTTTTACCTCAAGTCCATTATTTGACTCACCTGATTTTCCATTTGTATATTATTCTCCAGCTGTAAATGGATTTATTTTCTGTTTTAAAGCTTTTTATTGTTTCTAGACTTACCCTTAGTCTTCTTTTCACAAGTTAATTATGTGGTTTTATCTACTTCTTTGGCTTTAACTACAAACGTCAAATTTGATTGTTTCCAAATCTTTAATTCTAGGCTTGATTCTGTTTTTAGTTCATCATTTCTATTTCTCTACCAGATCCTTCAAACATATCAACTTACATTCCAAATTTTAATCATTTGTTCTCCATTGACAAGTTCATTTCTAACTTGGATGATAGTCTAATATCTATATTTGCCCCAATATGAAATTTTATGTAATTCTTGACTCCAATTTCTCTCACCATGTGTGCTAACAAACTGTACTAGCTAATTTCCATTGAATCTACTAGTATATATTTACACAATTCTATATAAGTTCTATCAATTCCCATAGTCCAGTTACTTACTAGTATTAGTTTTCTGCGAGCTATGTTCCCTATTATCTATAGTCCAAAGTCCAAACTCAGTATGGCATTGCCAAATAAGTCCCAATCTACCTGGTACCTTTATACAATTCTTTCTTTCCTGTAAAGTAGTTTAAACAATTTCCACATATTTTTTGCTTATTTCACAGCAGGCTTTTCACTAAATCTTGAATCCACCCTTACTTTTACTAATTCTGCATCTTTATTTTTGCCATTTCTTCTATCTGGAATGTTATTCCTGATTTGTTTGCCAGGCTACTTTCTATAATTGCTTTTCTTGATTCTCACCAACCCATTAGGGTTTAGTGTTCCATTATCAGAGTTTCTGTACCACTTTATATTTACTTTTAGTCATCATTTACGACAATGCATTTTTGTTAAATTTCTGTTTTTCTAACTATACTATTAGCTTTTTAAGACTGGTATTTTTCTTATTAAAATAGTCTAATATTGTCAGACAAACTTGAGTGAGTGTTTAATCTCTCATTGTATCATCACTCATAAAGTTGAAATGTAAATATACTTGTTCTTCTCACTTCATAGAGTTCATGTCAGGATCAAGCAAAGAAGCAAAGCATACACAAGTTCTCAGTAAAGAGGAAAGAACTACTGGATGGTGTTTTATTTCTATCACACTTGTCAGGAACTGCTTTTCTATGTAAACCAAGAGT